TGCCGCAGGGCATGCCGGGAGCTGTAGTCTTCCGGCATTGGGCGGCGGGCGGCCATGTTGTGCTTGCCTCAGGGCATGCCGGGAGCTGTAGTCTTCCGGCACTGGGCAGCGGGCGGCCATGCTGTTCTTGCCCCAAGGCATGCCGGGAGCTGTAGTCTTCCGGCATTGGGCGGCGGGCAGCCATGTTATGCTTGCCTCAGGGCATGCCGGGAGCTGTAGTCTTCCGGCACTGGGCGGCGGGCGGCCATGCTGTTCTTGCCCCAGGGCATGCCGGGAGCTGTAGTCTTCCGGCACTGGGCGGCCATGTTATGCTTTCCTCAGGGCATGCCGGGAGCTGCAGTCTTCGGGCATTGGGCGGCCATGTTATGCTTGCCTCAGGGCATGCCGGGAGCTGTAGTCTTCCGGCACTGGGCGCGGGCGGCCATGCTGTGCTTGCCCCAGGGCATGCCGGGAGCTGTAGTTTTCGCGGACCCGGCTGCCGGACAGCTGCGGTGCTCTCTGTGGTGTGCGGCTCGGCGCAGTCCTCTCTTCCGCCGCGGCCCCCGTAGCGCGGCACGAGGTGCAGTTTTGGCGCCGGTTTTGTGTGTTTTCCTGCGGGCTCTCGGCTGACCCCCTAAAAGCGGCGCGCCCGTGCCGCCTCCATAGCGCATGCGCGGTGCTGCACCGCCCGCAGCCTCTGCGCCGTCGCGCCCCCTGCCGGACGCAGCTCGGTACTGCAGGAGGGCGCCGCTGTGCTCGGCCCTGCTCCGCGCCCGTAACGATAACGCGATGCTGCGGTGTGGACGGTCGCTGCCGCCGCGCCCGTCGCTGCCTCCCAGTGAGGAGCCGCCGCCGCCGCCGCCCCCGCGCGCGCGCGCTGTCGCGCCGAGCGCGGGACTGCCGCGCCGGTGCCGCCCCCGGGCACGCGCCGCCCGCCGGGCGCTCCCCGCCGCTGCCGCCACCCGGTGGGCGAAGCGCGGTGCTGCGGCACCGGCACCGCACGGGCGCGCAGCAGCGGCACCGCCGGCTTCGCTGCTGCCGGTGCGCGGCGGCTCGCTGGGCGTGATTCCTGGCGGTGGGTGCCGGCCAGCACCGCTAGTGAGGCGAGCGAGCCCCTTTGGCTGGTGTGGGGGTGTCTCGCTCGCCGGCCGCCCGGGGATGGTGGGACAGGGAAGCTCCAAACCGCCTGCTGTGACAGGCTCCCGGTGCACTGGAAGCGAGTGAGTGGGGTCAGGGCAGCCCCAGGGACTTACCGGAGAGCTGGTAGAAGGGAAGAGGTGAAGGAGGTGGGTGTTCCCTCAGGAGCAACCCACCTGAGCTCCCCCTGAGCCTCCCCTGGCCCCACTGTCTCTGTGCAGCTGCCCCCAGCGCCAGCACCACCCCTGAAGCCTGTCCCGTAGCCCAGGTGAGCTCCAAGCCCTGTGGTTACAGCAGAAAGCTGGCCCTTGATGCATCTCCAGAAGCCCCTGTGCAAGGAGGGGCTCCGGCCAGAAGAAATCTACTGTAATCATGGTCACTGCTTCTTTCTCTCTTCCAGAGGCTGCAGTGAGAACACGCTTGTCCGTTCCTCCATTGTGGATGCCGTTGACTGCAGCTGATACCTGTGAACTAAGGTTTTTAGAAAATAGATATTTGAGGGATAGAATTATTAGGAACAATTTAAGATGTTTTAGCCATTTAATCATTGTGCTGTAGAACAAATACTAATCTTTTGAGGAATAGTTGGAATAACTGTAGGATAAGGAACTTATAAATAATCTTACTGGAGACGGTTTGGTCTTGTAGTGGCAAGTGCAAAGAAACATAAAGAAGCTGCAAATTAACAGCAAAGCAGACCAGGCCAGCCTGGAAGGACAAGGTGTATGTGACCACAGGACTGAGTTTGCACAGCAGTAAGGGTCAACTGTCAAACACAGTGAAGAAGACTACGAGCGTTCATCTGAAGACCCCGACGACCACCCGAAGACTCCAACTGACATGTGCAAGAGACATTAACATATTCTAAATGAGTTCCCTGAAAATTTATCAATATGATAAAAATGCAACGAATATGTATGATTAAGGTGGTATAAATGCTTGTTGATTTCATTCTCACACACACACACATTAGGAGGAGCTATTCCCTGTGTGTCTGGTGCTGTAATAAAGAATGCCTGCTTTCTAAAACTCCAAAATTGAGTCCTGGAGAGTGAATTAATTACCACTTTCCAGTTACACAGCTGCCTCAGCCTTGTGTGGGTTGTCTCTGCTGGGCCTTGCACTTCTCACGGCATGGCAGTCAAATGGAACAGGCAGAGCGCTTACCAGCTGTGGACAGCGGACAGGAGCTGCCATGGCTGAGGCTGGAGAGGCCAGAGGAAGGCAAAGAAGAAAAAATTGAAGTCTATCTGGCCAGCAGCAGCCTCCTGCTGCAGGTAAGAGTAAGCCCAACTCTCTGGGGGAGGAAGGATCCGCTTTGTAGTCCGCAGCAGGCCTGGCCGCCAGCGTGCACCGCATAGACTCTATGTGTCACCCAAAGCGTGGTACGGCCATGTAGTGCATGAGCAACCAAGACTATGAGTGTAGGAAGCCTTGTCTCCTAAGAGCTGTGAGACACCCATGTATTATTTTAGGTGGAGGATATCCAAGCAATGGGGGTTTCAGCTCTGTAGTAGAGCCTGGAGTCTGGGGGAAGACAAAAGATAGGAGGTGCCTGCAGGATGCAGTGCAGGGCTCAAAAGAACATCTCCCACAGAGTAGGTGATGCAGGGGGCTCAGGGGTGCTAACACAGGGCAGGAGCTGTCAGGAAGGAGTGGGGTTCCTTCCCTGACAATTCAGGAATAAAGAAGGAGTTTCTAAAGTTCTGAGTTGGGTGAGTGGTTGTGAAAGAAAGGAGGGTTCATCAGCCTTTTTCTGGCCAGTTTTGCAGTTGGATTTGGATGTTGATGAGGTCTGTTCCATTTAAGTCTCTCGACAGCTGATGGGGGGATATGACAAAGTCATGAGAGATACAGCATAAACCGTCTGATCCTCTGCATTTCAATATACAGGACTGAACATCAGACAGTCACATCTCAGAAAGCATTACATGCATTTCAGTATACCCTCCAGAACTGTGAGGCTTCTGCTTCTCTGGGCCTTTTACTTAATTCTCGGAGTTAATTTTTGAATCCATCCCTTCACTGTCTAATCTGGATGTCACAGTAGTTGTTCCTTAGAGAAATTGACTGGGCACTTATTTCCAGTGCAAGTTTGGGTTGCTGTCTTCCCTGGAATTTCTTGGATGTGTATTATTTGCGCTCGTAACAATCTGCACCCAGGGGTCTTTCTTTTATTGCAGTCGTGGGCACGTGAGCTTTTTCTGTTACTTCAGTTTTGCCCCTCTCCTTAAGTGTCCAATGAGATTTGCTCTAGTATCATTCATGGCAGTTACGTCTTCTTATTCTTGTTTATCTACTGTTTTTAGCACCAGTTCCTGTAGTCGTGAGGTGTCCAATTTAGATCTTTGAGTCGCCATGTCCTGCCATTGTGGTTTTTCTGTCGGTTGACCACTGCTGTAATTCCTCAAGGACTTTTGTAGGTAAGGAGGTATTTTGTGTCACTTCTGTGTACTATAGTATAGGTATTTGGGTCTTGATGTTCCCATTGGGTTTTGTGTGCTAGCTGGGTAGCCATACCGAGGGTCTCGTGTGCCTTGGCTCATCAGTGTAGTGCTAACCTAGCGCTTCAGTTCTCGTATTAGAAGCTCAGCGCACAGATCTGTCCTTGCCTGGGTCACGTCTGAGAAGTTTATGAATGGTCTTGTCTCACAGCAGTTATCGTGGATGTGTCAGCATATTTGCTGTCGAGCGGTCTGTTTTCATGGAGACCTTTTCCAGGATGACTTATTTTCTGCATCCTTTGAGTCATAAGTGTGGAAGAGCCTGGCTTCTTCCACATCCATTGTTGCAGTTGCGGCCATATCTTTTTGTCATGGGCTGTGGTTTTTGACCTCTAGGTTGTCTTGCTTAGCAGCGTCTCCTGTCTGGGAGTCATTCTCAATTAGAGTTTTCTCTCATTGTTGAATCACACCGTGTGTACTGTCGTTCTGTGCATGTGTGTGTTTGTCTTGGAGGTGCTCTGCCCAGGGGTGTAGAGTCAGGGGTAGGTTGTGTAGCAGTAGGAGTCTGGGGTTAATATGTTGATACACTTAGACCATTTCAGCAATGTTTGCATAGTCACCTCGGATCAACTAGCCATCAGCAGACTGTGCAGATGGTCATTTCTACAGCGTTTTATGGAGATGGTTTGAGCTCTGTGGGAGGGGCTGTTCTGCAGTAGTGAAGCAGATTGAATCTCAAAGGTGTTGAGGCTTGTAGGTGTGGGGTTGAGAGTTCGGTGTGGGAGTTGGTTTTGTTTTTTCAGTGGCAGGCTGTAGTTAGACTCTAGATGGTATTCCTAGCTGGAATCAAGACCTCGGGATTTCTTAAGCTATCACTTGGTATCTGGGTGACTCATCTACTAATTTTTCTCAGGTGCGGAGCGATGAGATGCACACCAGAGTGATGGAGGAGGTGAGCAGAGCTCCATTAGAAGGTGGGTCAGTGAGTCGTATAGGAATATGGGACTGGTGCTATGACTAGCTTATAGGTTTTCTTTTTGTGTGATTTTTTTTTTTTTTTTATGTCGATGATGGAAAGCTGTGAGCAAAGTGGCATATTGGCACGAGATCTGGCTCAGGAAAAGTGAGCAAGGACTAGGGGCGTGAAGTAGCAGTCATTTTCCAGGTGTCCTATCGTTGGTGAAGTTAGAAGCATCCCTTGTTGTTTGTGTCTTACAGGTGGTGTGCAAACTGCAGAGACAGGGTGGGTGAGCGGCTAAAGCAAAGGAGCAGGAGATGGCAATCGGTATGGGCAGGTGGAAGTTTCAGGCAGTATCTCAGCATGTGTGCCTTGCTTTGGTTTTGGCAGGTGCCGCAGGTAGCCTTGGAGGGGCAAAGTCGCATGCTGATAGGCAGTCCAAGAAGGTGAGGAGGTTGTTGTCTGGGCTGGTGTCTAATAAAAAAGTATTATATGGCAACTTGGTTAAGCATTTACCTCAGTTTTGCAGGTGCTGTGGGAGCCACCTTTGGAATTGGATGAGCCTTTGAGGTGAGCTGTGGTAGTAACAAGGAAGATCATGGGCCTTACAATGTCTTACAAGTGCAATGGTAATTTTGTCCCTTGGGATCTTAGGTACCAAAAAGTGATGATGGCCACAGTGTCTGACTCTGAAATGAGTAGGTGAGCGGAGCTTCACGGTGCTTCTGAGGGAGGTGTTGTGGATGATGTAGGCATTGACTGCTGTGATGCTGACTGCCAGCTCTGTTTTGTCTTTTGCCTTTTTGTTTTTTTTATTGCAGGTAAAGAAGAACCTGGCCACTGCAGGAACATCCCAGTTAGCTGATATGTTTCTTTTTGTCAAGGATGCATTCATACCTCCAGCCCTCTGAAAGCTAAATTGAGGGACTGGGGCTGGGAGGAGGGGACCAGGTTGGGAATTGCAGGGAGGGGTTTGAAAGTTAGTGTAGGGGAGAGGGCTGTCCAGGAACAGCGCCCTTTGGGCAGGTAAAGGGAGCAGATTACTTTTCAGCACAAGACTACCATGTGCCAGGCACGGTGGTTCTTGATGGTGTCTGTGTTTGTGTAGTCTGTCTTCTGTGTCTTAGATCTTCCTCAGTCCTCAACGTCCTTGTTGCTCTTTGCTTGACAAACAAAACACGTGCCTTGGGCGTCCTCCCTAGGGTCTCGAATGCCTGTCCTCATTGACACAGTGCCAGTTGGATGCTTCATGTTCTCAGGTTTCAAGCATAGAGCACGGATAGATCTTGGAAGTTTTCAATCAGTTCCCCTTTGCAGCTTCGTTCCAGGCTGTGGCATAAGCTCTGTTCTCTAGGCATCCATTTTCACAGACTGGGAAGTCTTCTCTGCATCCTTACATTCTTAGATCTTGAAGCCAGTTGTTTTGCGCGTTTGTCATGTCTGTTTTGACAGTAACTTCTTGTAACAGGCCATTGCATTTGACTCTTTCTGGAGCTGCCATAGGGCCTCTTAGCCTAATGGTTGCGACCATCTAGGTCTTATTGCACAACAGCATCTCCCATCCAGGAGTCATTCTTCTCGCTTAGAGTTTTCTCTCATCTTTGAATCACACTGTTTGTAGCGTGTTTTGTATAGTGTTGGTCTGGGCATGTGTGTTTAGCTTGGAGCTGTTCTGCCTGGGCCGTGTAGAGTCAGCGGTAGGTGGAAGAGTGATAGAAGTGTGTGGTTAATAGACTGATAAGGCTAGACTGTTTATGCAACGTTTGTACAGTCACCTTGGCTCAAGTAGCCATCGGCCGGCTGTGTGGACAGTCATTTCCATAGAGTTTTAAGGAGGTGATTGGAGCTATGTAGGAGGGGCTGTTCAGCAGTAGTGAAGCAGGTCGATTCTGAGGTGTTAAGGCTTGTAATTGTGGGCCTTACAGTTTGGTATGTGGGGGATGGTTTTGTTTTTTTTACTGCCAGGCTGTTATTGGACTCTAGATAGTATTCCTACCCAGAATCAAGACCTCGGTATTTCTTAAGTTATCACTCTGCATTTTTTTCAGGTGCAGAGGGATAAGATGCATACCAAAGTGACAGAGGAGGTAAGCAGAGTGCTGTGAGAAGGTGTGTCAGTGAGCGGTGTCAGAGGGAAGATGGGACCAGTGCTATATGCCTAGCTTATAGGTTTTGTTTTTGTAGGTTTCTTCTTTTTTTGAAGGTGTGAAGCGGTGAGCAAAATGGCATATTGGCACCAGAGCTGGCTCAGGCAAGCTGCCTTTGGAATTGGATGAACGCTTGAGGTGAGCTGGGGTAGCAGCAAGGAGGATCACGGGGCTGGTGACTTCTCACAAGTGCAATGATAATTTTGTCTGTTTGGAATCTTAGGTTCTATAAGCAACAATGACCGTAGTGTCTGACTTTGGAATTGGTGCAGAGCAGGGTGAAGGGAAGTGACACAGTGCTTCTGAGGAGGGGCATGTTGTGGATGATGTAGGCATTGACTGCTGTGATACTGACTGTCAGGTCTGTTTTGTCTTTTGGTTTTTATTGCAGATGATGAAGAGGAAGCTGGCAACTGAAGGGACATCCCTGTTAGCTGATGTGGTTTTTCTGTTGAGGATGGATTCAGACCTCTGGGCCTTTGAAAACTATGATGAGGGGACCAGGGCTGGAGAGAGGGGCTGGGAGGAGTGGACAAGGTCAGAAACTGCAGGGAGGGCTATTAAAGTTAGCGTAGGGGAGCGTGCTGTTCAGGAACAATCTCCTTTGGGCAGGCAAGGGAGTGGGTTACTTGTCAGCATGACACTAGTTTGTGTTGGGCAGGGCCGGTTCCAGCCTGTGTCCGTGCACGTAGCTCATGTAGTCTGTCTTGTGTCTTATACCACACTGTCCTCGGGTCTTGATGTCTCCATAGCTCTTTGTTGTCAGCAGGCACCTCAGTAGTGCTCCTGAGAATCTTCAGTGCATTGCTTCACTGGCATAGCGCCTGTCGAGCCCTTCTTGTCTAGCAATTGTTGCCTAAAGGATGGATTCATCTGGTGTGTTTTGCATTGTAGATGTTCTTGAGCGGTCACCTCTTGTGCTGTCGAGCTAGGCGATGCCTGCAACTCTTCTGTTGAGAATTCTGTTTGCACACAGTAGTCTTCCAGGGTTTCATCCCCGTGTCCTTAATGATCCTAAGTCTTGAAGCCCAGCTTCTCAGGTATCCATCATTCCGGTTTTGATGATAGCTTTCTCTCACGGGCCACAGTAGTTGCCTCTCATTCCGGGGCTGCTATAAAGCATCTGCACTGTCATGGCACCGTAGAGCTCTTCTGCTGGTGGCATCTTCCCTATGGTGGCAAATCTCTCTCACGATCTTCTTGTGTCTCACAGTCATGTTGTTTGTGGTGTCTGTCTGTGTCGGGGTTGGAGCTGCCCTGCCCAGGGGTGTAGCAATACTAAAGATAATGGTAGCACAGCTTTTTGGTTGTATGTTGATCTGCCCCGATCCTTTTGGCAAAGACCATACGGTCCACCTCCGGCCAAATAGCTGTAGAGAGCTGCCGGAGTTGTTTTCACTGTGTTTGGCAGGTGCCAGAGGTTGGACTCTGGCCTGCTGGGAGTGGTGGTCTGTGTGGTAGTTGACCGGGTTGAATCTTAAAGGAGCCTTAGCTTGTATGTGGGGTTCAACATGTGGGGTTGGGTTGTTTTAGCTGTAGTTAGAAAGCATATGCAAAAAGAGAGACCTTTGGTCTTGTAAAGCTATCGGTTAGTGTCTGGGTGACTACCTTCACGTGATTTGGGTTTCTCAGATGCAGAGTGACGAGCCATGTGCCGCAGGGTGACAGGAGAGGTAAGCAGAGTGCTGGGCAAAGGCGGGCCGGTGTCTGATGTCAGAGGATAAGTGTGACTGATAGCTCTGATGGGATTATGCTGTTTTGGGTTTATTTACTAGGTGTGAATAGATGAGTGAAGTGGGATATCTGTACCGGAGCAGACTTTAGCAAGGCAAGTGGTGACCAGTGTGCCGAAGTAGTAGTTTTTTGAGGTGTCATACCCTCTCTATTATGTACATACATATCCCTATCCTATAGGGATGGGGTGTGTAGACCGAAGAATCTGATTCTGAGCAGCTGAGGTAAAGGAGCAGAGGAGAAAAGATGTGAGCAGACTGAGGACTTGGGCAGCATCTTACCATGTGCTTTTTCTTCTGTTTTTTGGCAGGTGCTGCATTCCTTTCCAGAGGGTTGAAGCTGCACAGCTATGAGCAGTTTGAGAAAAGGCAAGAGAGTTAAGTGGTCCACTTGGGCTGAATTGCTTGAGGGTCCATGCAACTGTTTGCGCAGGTAACAGTGGCATGAAGTGATTAAAGGAACCTTGCATTTTGGTGACAAGGCCGCTACTGAGGATGGCTACTAAGTATGGACCGTGACCTGTGGCACCATGAAAGCTAAGTAGTGGGACAAATCTGTGGGGAGTGGAGTCCATGTGTGTCCAAACGTTGGCATAATGGGAGGGTTAGTCTGTGGGGAGTCAGCCTCGTGCAAGTGGAGGGAGTGATACGTCTCGTGACGTGTGCCCTGGCAAAGCAGCTCTGGGATGAGTTGGTGGAGTTGTGTGCAGTATGTCTAGTGTGTGTTCATACGTGTTCCTTAGTTACCTGATGTGTTAATGTTCATCTTGGCCTTCATGTCTGAGAAGCCTCAGGCATACTCATCCTACTACAATCACAATAGCCATCCGTTGCATTTCTGCAGCCTCCCGTTATCGGCACGGTACCAATTCCGACTTGTTTAGCAGCATGACATAGAAGCTCAGTGCTGCCGGTCTGGTTTAGCATTGTGGGTGCATTTGTCCAGTCTTTCTTGCAGCTCTGGCTTGGGCCTAACCATCAGGTCTCATCTTGATGACTCTCTTTCTTGAGACTGCTTCCAGAGTGCTTCCTGTGTCATCCTAGTCTTCAGTCTTTCCCAGCAATTTGTCTCCATCGGTCACGGTAGGTTTATCAGGCCAGGTTGGAGTGTGTGCGTCACGTGGCCTCGGCACTGTTGTGCGTGCTGTCATTCTGTGTCTTTTGGTCTGGCATTAACTCTACTCTGTCTGGTATTCTTGCATCCTTAGGTCATGTTTGTAGTTTGTATAGTGTGTGTGTGAGGTGGAGCTGCTTTGTCCGTTTGTATAGCAATTCTTGTTGATGTTGGAAAGATCCCAGCCTGGGATGAAGTGATGATAAGCATGGCCTGTTTGGGTGGAAGTTGTATAAGCTGGTTTTGGGGATAGCCTGTAGTTATTGGTGAGCAGGTTCTAAAGTCCCTTCTTTTATCTTTTGCAGGTGTCTAGGGCCATTGGGATTCTGGGAGCAAATCCTTCCGTGGGGCTTGCTGGAGTGTGCACTTCAAAGCACAGGAAGAGTAGAAGTGGTGCAAAGAGGGAAATGTATCCCTCTGCTTCCAGTTAGGAAGGGTAATGCTGTGAAATCATGTGGACTGGTGATGTTGTGTTGAGGTATATGGTGATACGGTTGCAGGGATGGTTATAGAATTGGGGTGATCTGCCACTGGCAGGTGACGAAATAGACATGTTTTGAGTGAGGGGTGGAATGAGCAGATGCCAAATGAGTGTTAGTTTTGGAATGTGTCTATCCTTGTAGGTGTGGATTTCTTCTTTTTCAGGTTGTACTGAATGTAGAGGTAGTTAATATTTTCTTAACAATAAATAAAAAAACTCCTCAAGCTGGGTGGTGTGTTTTGATTGTGTCTAAGTTTTTGTTTTTTGGTTTGGGTGTTGTGTGGGGTTTTTGTTTTTGTTTTTGGTTTTTTTTTTTTTTGTGTGTTGTTTTTTGTTTTGTTTTGTTTTGTTTTGTTTTAAGATTTTCCCTGTGGGCTGTATGTGGAGTTGAGATTTTTTTTTTTTCAGACACTGTAGGAAGAAAACCAACCCACCCAGCTGTGAGACTGTATTGTTTTCTTTCCCAGCTGGTGGTTTTATCCTGGTCCTGGCTGCTCTGCAGGGTGACGTTCATCACCGGTCTTTGGATGGAGGTTTGGCTTGGGCTGGGATTTTTGCAGGCAAGGTGAATTATGGAGGCCAATGGGAATGCTGTTCCCGGGGAGCGTTCCCCTGGCCTGTGGCAATTGCCTGTCGTTTCAGGGAGGTGTGTTTAGTGGGCAGTTGGAGAAGATGGTTGTGCATCTTGCAGTAGAAGGGTGTGGGGAGTTGGAGTAGAGGGCTCCAGTGCTGAGGAGGGACGGCGTTGTGAAGCAAGGGGGCCTTAATTTTCCATTGGTAGGGTTGTAAGTTCTTTCAAGGGGTAGTGTAGCGTCTGAAATATTTTTGAATTTTGATCTCTGGGTGCAGGCATGGAAGTTGTGGGCCTGTTGAGATGAGCAGAGCTCGCTTGCTTTCTGGCTGGGAATGCAAATGGTGGAGGTGATGTTGCCTTGAAAACTTCTATACGTGAAGTGATAGACTGAGTGTGTAATGGGAGTGAGAAACGTGGAGAAGACTCTAGCTACCTTGTAGAGAGGTGCAGGCACTAAGTAGTTGCAATGAAGGTAAAGCTGGATTTTTAGTGGTTACCTGTATTTATTAAAGTGACTAAAACGTGAATGAGTGTATTAATAATTACTCAATGAAAGGAGACAGTAAATACTTTTAATCATTGTAGTACAAGACCATGGTGGAATTAAGGTGTATGGAATGATGCCAGCAAAGTGCTTTAGAGTCAGTAATGGGCCCAGGCAAAGATAGAGATGGTTTAAAAAAAAAAAGAGATAAGCAATATTCTTTCCCAAGCAATAAATGCTTATAAATAAAAAGTTCCTTGGCTGCTTCTATCTTCCTGTATCTACACAGCATTAATGAAGGAACTGACACACCCCGATTACACTACAGCCCTGCCACCTCTCGTCCTGTGGTGCTGCAAAGCCTCCTGCCCAACTGTCAAGCGTAACACCCTAGTCCCACCCTAAACAGCTGAAACTATGCCTTAGACTGCAAACATTACCCATAATGCCAGAAATCTGCCCCAATTAAAACCTTCGTGTTTAGGGCAGATGAAAAGGAAGCTGTGAACGTCATGAACAGCCTGGTTAGGCAATGTGCAATCTAGAAAAAAGTCACGTGTCACCTTTGGGTCAGATAGGACCAGAGGCTGTGGGCACAGAGCTCAAAGATCATCAGAGGGGACAGAGGTCAAAGGTCATCCTGGGGTCAGAGATCAAAGGCCACATGCGGTCAGAGGTCAAAGATCACATTGGGGCAGAGGTCAAGGGTCACATGGGACTGGGGTCAAAGGTCATATTGGGGTCAGGGTCAAAGGTCACATGGACTCAGGGGTCAACTGTCATCATGGGGGCAGAGGTCAAAGGTAACATTGGGATTCCAGATCAAAGGTCATCTTGGGGTCAGAGGTCATGATGGGCCCAGGGTCAAAGGTCAACATAGCGCATAGGTCAAAGCTTAGCCGGGGGCAGCGTGCAACTTGGGGTCAGAGGTCAAAGGTCACACAGGGTTAGGGGTCAAATGGCACAGTGGGGTCAGAGGTCGACGGTCAAGTCAGGGTCAGAGATCAAAGAGCAACTCGGGGTCAGAGGTCAAATGTCATCCTGGCGTAGAATTGAGTTGTCAGCTGGTCAAGCATCAAAGGTCACCCCGGCTCAATGTTAAAACCCTGCAGCTCTTCTGGCCCATGTGATACCTGCTAGTGGTTGGCCCCGCCCCTTTCCAAGGGGATTGTGGGAAGGGTGGTGGGTGGGGCCCAGGCTAGATGAGCCCCAGCCTCTACTCAGGGAGCTCCTTCTGCTCCTGGGTTTCTCTGGGCTCCCCTGTTCCTTCCCTTGATGGCAGCTTTGGAGCTGCCTAAGCTTTTGGACTGAGGTCTTTTGACCTTCAGAGGAGCACGCGTGTTTGCAGTAATAGCTTCAGGACTGGGCAAGGTTGAGCACTCTATGGAGTAGAAAGTAGATTCGTTTGTTGCTTTTTTGTTGTCTTTTTTTTCAGGAGAATAATTTTTGCTTGAGCGTTCAGAGGTGGCAAGATGGTTTAATAGATTGCTCTTCCTTTTTAATTTAGGTGCTATTTAAAATGTTTTCCGTATTTTCTTAGTCCCCAGCGCTCTCAAAATTTTCCTCTTTTAAATGTTTTTTCCTTGTTTTTCCTTTAGGAAAAAAACAGGTAGGTAGCAGGGTGTCTGGTTGGGGTGCAAGGGGACCAAGCAGGATTCAGGGGGTCTGGTTGGGATTCACAGGGCCTAGAGAGGTCACGTGGTGTCCGGTGAGGGTCACAGGGGGTCTTGTTGAGGTTCAGGGGACCCAGGTAAGGTCCAGGGGGGTCAGTTTGGGGTGCAGGGGCCCCCTACATGGGTGCTGTGCAGGGGGGCTGTTTGGGCTGAAAGGGGGTCCAGACAAGGTGCAGAGGGTCTGGTTGGGATGCAGGGTGGCCAGACAGCATGCAGGGTGTCTTGCTGGTGTGTAATTTGTATTGTAACTGTATTATAATTGCTGAGCAATCGGTGCCTAATAGGAGTATTTGGAAAAGCAGCAACGTGTGATTTGGGTGTATAAAAGAAGCACCTGCCGTTAGGTGTGCTCGATTCAAGGAAAATCCCCGGAGCACCCAGGCCCAAATAAAATACAGTATCGTTCCTGAGCCTGTTCAGCTGGGTGTATTGCAGGCCGGGTACCGACAGCCCCCCGCTCCCCACGGGCTCCAGCTGTGGGCTGGGGCCGGGGCAGCTCAGGTGGGACCGGTGAGGTGAGGATGGGACCGGGCCAAGGTTTTAAATAGGCTGCAGCTGGGGCTGGACTGGGGCAGCCCCAGGTGCAGCCGGTTTGGCTGAGGATGGGGCCAGCCCTGCCGTGCCGAGGAGCTCTAGCTGGAAGTCGGGGGCGGGGGGGCTGCCCGCCCGCGGGAGCTGGCCGAGGAGCGGAAGAAAGAGAGTCTCAGCCGCGTCTGCCCGCGGCCAGGAGCGGCCGGTCCGTGCGGCGAGGAAGGATTCCTCCCGGCCGGCCCCGACGGGGCGCAGCACCGGCGCCGGGAGCTCGGCGCCCCCGAGCCGCCGGGTGGCCGGGAAGCCTCGCGGGGGAGGCGCTCGGAGGCGCGTGCCGCCCGCCCCCGCGTGGGTGAGGGTCGGGCAGCCGGCGCTGCGGAGGTGGGAAGGGGCGGAGGCGGAGAGACGAGCCCCGGGGCTGCGAAAGCCTCGGGCCGGGGCCGGTACCGGGAGCTGCGGCGGGTCGCGCGTCCCCCCGGGCCGGTCCCGGCCGCGCTTCTCCAGCTGCCCGCCTGCTCCCGCCTCCGGCTGCCTTTCGGGCTGGCCGGGTCCCCGCAGCTTTCTGCTGTTCTGCCGACACCGCCCCGTCCCCCGTCGCCTTCTCCACGTCCTTTCCACGCCGCTCCCTTGCTGGCTCCCCAGCCGCCTGAAGCATTTCATTCCTTCCACGCTGCCGCCTTCCCTGTCGCTTGTGAAAATTCGCATCGGAAGGTCTCCCTCTACCCGGCGACTCGTATCTAGTTCTCAGCATTTCCCTGTCCCCCTAGCGATACTACGGGGTCTCTGGCAGGACTCGGAGGACCTTGGCTGGATTGGGAGACGCTGGAGAGCGGGCACTGGGGGACACTGAGAGGGACTGGAGGGCACTGGGATTTAGCAGGGAGTCTGTGGCAGGACTGGGAGACACTGAGGGACTCTGGGTTTACCCTGGAGGGAAACTGAGAGGGACTGGAGGGTACTGGGGGACACTGAAGAGAGTGGGAGACTCTGAGGGTGCACTGGGAGACACCGGATGCGCTGCAGAGGGGCATGAGGGACATGGTGAGGACTGGAGGGATACTAGGGGGTCTGTGGCAGGACTGGGAGGACACTGGATGGACTGGGGGACTCAGGGAGGGAGTGGAGGGCATGGGAGGTTACTAGGGAGTTTGTGGTAGGTCTGGGAGGCCACGAGATGGACGGGGAGACACTGGGGAGCTGTGAGGGTGCGCTGGAGGGACACGGAGAGGGAGTGGAGGGTACTGGGAAGTCTGGGAGGGGACACTGAACAGAGTGGGAAATGCACTGCAGAGGACCGTGGAGGGAATGGTGGGAGGACTGGAGGGTACTGTAAGGATCCTAGGGGCTCTGAGCAGGACTGGGAGGACACCAGGCGGGCTGGGGCACTGGTGGGACACCGGGAGATACTGGGAGGGACTGGAGGGCACTGAGGGAATACTAGGGGGTCCGTGACAGGACTGGGAGGACACCGGTTGGACTGGGAGACACTGGCGGGCATTGGGAGACCCTGGGAGGGACTGGAGTGACCCTGAGAGGGACCAGAGGGTACAGGGAGACACTGAACAGATTGGGAGGCTCTGTGGGTGCACTGGGAGACACTGGGAAGGAGTGGAGGCCACTGAGTAGGGGTTGAAGGTGCAGGGAGTCTAGTTGGTGTGCAGGGGGACCACACAATGCGAAGTAAGACTTGTTGGGGTGCACAGGGCTCAGACAGGGTGCGGGGGGTCTGTTTAGGTTGCAGGGGGACTAGGCAAGGTGTAGCAGGGCTGGTTGGGGTGTGGGGGTTCTTGCTGTGCTGCAGGGGGTTCTGGTTGGGGTTCAGGGGGCCAAGATGGGGTGCAAGGGAGCCGGCGAGGTTGCAGGGGGCCTGGTTGGGGAATAGGGAGGCCAGACAGAGTGCAGGGGGTCTTCTTGGCAGGCAGAGGGTTCAGAGAGAGTGCAGGCAGGTTGCAGGGCATATGG